GATCCGAATCCGGTGAAATTAATGGAAGATAGATTTAGGTTCTCAGTTCGATAACTCAATTAAGATCCGAATCCGATAATCCGTTAATTAAATAGATCAAAAATGGATATAGGTCAATATAATTCGATAACAACTTGATCTGATTTTTTGTAAATAGTTGAGTCAGTTAAATATTTTTATGGCATGTTATTTGTCAATAAAATAAATAAATTAGAAAATAAAGAAATTTAGAATAAAAAGTCATCAAATTCACACAGTGCTCTAAAAAGTGTAATGCGTGGTGATGTGTAAAGGTTTAGGGTTAGGTGAGTCTAGATGAAGCCTAGGCGTAAAAAAAATATTTTCTTATTTTACCTGAAGGTCAAGTAGCCTAGCCGATACCTAAACATTAAAAGGCGTAAAAAAATATTTTCTTATTTTAATATTATTTTAAATTTTTAATCAATCTAAAAATTATTTAATAATACATACAAATTATAGTACGAAATGTAGTTTAAGAGTTTAACAACATAAATATATTCGATAAACAAGATATAGTGTAATAGTGTTAATTGAAATATTTGGGAAGTTATAGATTTTTATTTAATTAGTAAAAGATAGGAAAAACGATTAATTTAATAAAATATAAATAACTATTTATATAATAGTGCAATACACTACAGTCAAATCATATGTACAATATACTACAGTCAAACCAAAGGTACAATGTACTATAGCCAAAGCAAATGGATTCTTATCCCACATCGAAAGTTTATAAGAAAATGCTTGGAGATGTATTTTGTAAATAATTGAGTCAATAAATGAGTAAGCAACTTTTTGTGCTTTTCAATCCAATTGGCTAAAAGTTGAAAAATTTATAATTATTAAACCCATTTAAGAATTAGAAAAAAAAAGTTCATTTTAACATTGATTTTATTTTACTAATTTCTTTAATTTCAAATTCAGATTGGATTATCGGATTGGATATGCGATAACATAGCAAATCGAATATGAATTTAACAATCAAATATTCGTTGGATTATCTGATGGGATCGAACATGGACATATTCGGTCCATATCCGATCCATTTCCTGACCTTGTTGTGGCAAGTGGGAAGGGGGAATTTAGTTAGAAAGAATCTATAAATAGAGAGACAACCATTAGTGGATGGGGGCAGGAATTAAGTGAAAGTGAGGCTTAGGAGAGTGTAGTCGTCTCGAATGACTGTTATTTTTCTTTTCTGCAATCATTTTTAGCATTCAATAAAAGTTTTGCTTATGCATATTCTGCTATTTGTTTTTCCCGTTAGAACCTTATCAAATGGTATCAAAGCAGTTGAGATATGGGAAAATTACTCTTATAGACTAAGTGGTAGCCTTGAAGACGGCAACTTCACAGTAACCAGCACCTTTCAATAAAACCACAGTAATATTGTTGGCCCAAGAATAGACACTTTCACATCCACCAGTCATCTACCAATCAACTTCAAATCAGCAAACGCCGCCTCCATTGTCATCTTCTCCACAACACCATTGACAACCCAAGCACCCAAGATTTATATCACAGCCTACTATCTAAATCTCAAACCTAACATACTACTCGCCCACCACCATAAGGTTCGGCATCAACTCTTGACTAAAATCATAATCGGCCGAACCCATAATCACCCTCTTTCGGTCTGTAACATGTTAATCTACATCACCGTGCCATCCACCTCAAGACGTGCCATCAAACAACCGACTTCACCGGTCACCACCGCCTCTGCCTCTTACTCTTAGTGTGAATCTAATTCTCTGTGACACTTTCTCAATTGGTTTTTACATCAAAGTGATTTTGTCTCTGCCCAGCCTCTATTTTCTCTAGTTTGGTTTGGGCCTCAATTTATGGTCTGTGTTTAGTTTATATAGAAGTTTAATTTTATTCAAAAATAGAAAAGAAAAGAAAAATAGAAAAGTAAAAAAAAAAAAGAGAGAATTTCTAACATTATTTTGCAAGTACCCCTTAGTTAGATTGATAGGCAAGGCTACT